AACATGTGTCTCTGGCTGTCTGATTTACTGGGAGGTCTGATTTACCGATAGGTTTAGATCAAGTTTGTCATTGAAATTATATTAGGACTTTGGTAGATGGCTAGTCACAACATGCAAATATCATATTAGTGGTGCCATACAAGGAACAAAGGAACCACACAAGCAGAAAAAGAAATGGTAAATACCCCTCTGTAGTTATTAGCTTTTATGTAATACTTTAAATGCAGAAACGACTCTTTGCTAATGCACATGATGGGGGGTGGGGGGAGGATGACCAGCTGCACGTAGGGTAATGCAGAATGACTGTATCAGATGTTGTTACAGACATTTCAGATATAATTTACTGTACAATACAAAAAATAAATATCAGGCTTTGTGTCATATAGAAGGAGTTGGTCTTCAGATATGACCATTGAGAACTGAATGTTTCATTCATGTGAAAACTCTACTGCAGCTTACACACCAAAGCTTTGCTTGGTAGTGCCTGCATATATATGCATTTATGGACGTATAAATGGTTCATTTAACTTCTAAAGTCAGGTGCTTCTCGATGACTTACCACTTATTTCATAAAACATTGCTCTACTGCATTAAGTACTTACATCCAAGGAATATAAATAGAGACAGAATGTCTCTGCAAGTATGATTTACATCAGTAAGCAAAAGAGTAAGAATTGTGAAAAATTCCTGAATTCTAATGTTTAAAGGGAATCATTACAAGAAATTAATATTGTTATCAAGTTTGGTTAGCATCATAAATAATAGAAAGCAGAATGTGAAAACACAGTTTCATGGGGCATCACCAACATCTCCATAGCCTGTTTGGGTTGAGTTCCAGGTATCCCGACTCCCTGTCAGATTTAGAAGTTTAGGCATCTTCAGGCTATACTGTAGGCAATGTTTAAAGATATATGCATGTTTTCACAGCACAGATGTTAGTGAATAGATGAACAGCCAAGAACTAAATGATTCAGTAGGTTAGTTATGCTTTAAAATTCATAATAACATCGTACCACAGTTGCCAAATTTCAGCAGCTCACTTCAGTTTAGCAGTCAGGATCCTATGTAACACTTGTGCTGAGCTGGGGACTATGAGAGGGTCTGGCCACCCCTTGGAAGCTGCCCTGTGAAATGGTTTTATAGGAGACCTTCTAGCTCCAGTAACCTCAAACATCTCATCAAGGAAATTGAATGAAAGGTTTTGATTTCTTGAAGCAATGCTTTCCCATTTTAGCCTTTATTCAGCTTGCCTTGTTAACATATGTGTGCATATTTTATGTTTTTGGGGGCCTGTAACATACTTGACATGCAAAATATATCCTAGAGCAGAAGAGAGGGTTTGGGATTTTGGTTTTTGTAAAGCAATTTAAATAGATTTAGACCAATTTTGTGGGCTCTATTCTTAGACTGAGTATCTGGCTTTGCTTCAGCACTATTTAATTCCTTCATTGAGTTTACCTATCAGCAGACCTGTTCTATAGCTGTGCTTTTATTGATTGACTTCACATATATTCTCTTGCCATATTTAACCAGGAAACTGTAGAAGACAGTAATGTGTAAATATTAAATATATAAGACTTCTGCACTAGAACCAAAGCAGTAAAGCTTACTGATGGTTTTAGTTATTTTTACCACAATAGATTACATTTTAGAATTTTGTGAGAAGCTTTTCAGGAGATTTGGTATTTGCCTTTCTAAGGCGTGAGACATTTGAGAAAAGAAAACATTTATTTTGCCTAGCCAACAGCAATAATGGGATGTTGTCTGGGATTTCTACAGCAGCAAAGCAGAAGCAAACTTTAAACAAGATTATGTATGTAACAACTGCTTGTTGTATTAGGAAATTATCAAACTGACTGTTTCTTTAAAGACTGCAATATTTGCTTTTTCTTATTGCTTATTTTTGACAGTTGGCTAAAGAAACAGTATGTAATATGCTTAATTAATTTTTTGTGTCTGTTTTATTTCAGAAAAGTAAACAAGTGCTACAGGGGTCGCTCTTGTCCAGTAGTTGTTCATTGCAGGCAAGTACAATTTCTAAAATAGCTTTAGAGAGATTTGTATGTGTAAGAATTTAATATAGATATAAACAAAATGGGCAAATTAAAGCTTTAGGTGAATCACTAAACAGTGAGGTAGGCTGAAGGTATTAAATATAATTCAACTGTTTTTTAATGCTAATTAATACTTAGGAGCTGTTTTCATAATAAAATTATCCTTTCCTATGATTTCGTAGATGTTGTGTCATGACTTAACAATGTATGGCCACCCTTACCAATATGAGTAGCACTTCAATTTCATAAATCTCCTTGAAAATAATAGTGGTTCCTTGCATTCCCTCCCAATTTAGTCTTCTTCATTTTATTAACACTCAATTATGTTTTATTTCTTCTTTGTTTGCTTGTAGCGATCATGGTAAGAAGACAGCAATGTCAGGGAGTGGAAACCTACCCAGAGATTGAGTAATCCTTTAAGCACAGATTATCTTTAGGCCTGACAGTCTGACAGATGCACACGAAAGCTATTGGGCAGCTCAATGGAAAACTTTGCCATAATAACGTTAATGTTTGGTTTTCCCAGTGGAGGTTCTGTGTTATAAGGAGAACGTTGCAATTATTTATTGACGATATTCTTGTACATAAGGAAGATAGAAAACCAGCCCTGCTAAGAGGCAGGTTGTTTGACATGTGGCATTCCACTTTGGGTGGGAGTGAGGAGGGAGGGAACGTGTTTCTCACCTGTGGCTCAGCAGAGTCACCTTCCAGTGGGTGCAAGGAGGCTCGCTGCAGAGGTGAATGCTCTGGAGCCGGCTGGTTTGTATTGCCTTCAGGAAGCCTGAGAAAAGAAACATTTGATGCAGAGCTTTTGATTTCTTGCTCTTTCCTTACTGTGATGGATGGAAATGTCTACCATCCGCTCAGAAGTTTTTGTTTTTATTGGGCCTGATCGCTGCCTTGTCTCTCATCATTCAGCTTAACTAATAAGATTGTGTCTTTGTTCCCTTCATAGACATAGGAAAAAAAATTATTACCATTACCTCCTTTTCTCTAAGCAGTGATCTAGTAACCGAAAGAAAAAAAACCTCTGTCTACAGAGACTTAACAAAAATTAAGTTTCATAGCCTGCCTGTAAACAGAATGTAATAACGCGCTTCACGCTGTTCTATTATTTTTCCTTTCATTAATTCTTGTACACAAATTGAGCTATCAATAAAAATAATGGCTTAATTAATAAAACTGCATACCAGTCTAATTGGTCACACATGCACCTTTGTAAAAATTTTGGGGAGGGAAAGAAAAAAAGCTTTTACTTAAAGTCTTAATTATGTTTGCTAACAGCAGCTCTAAAAGAGCATCACGCTGGCAATTACACGTTGCTCTCTGAAAGGGACACAAGCTGCATTCAGATTAGGGAGCTTTCCCCCTCCCAAAGCTTGGTCTCACATCTCTGAGGAAGGGCTGATGATACGCAAAAGTTAAAGCTGTTTCTTAGGAATTACATGATGATATTTTTTCGGGTCATTTCAACTAAGGAAGAATTAAAGGAAAAGGTAAAAAGAAAACACAAATCACTCCTGATGTATAGTGAAGAAAGACTGCAGTCCCTCAGTAATCAAGTATTTCGGTTCTCAGACAGGTCTCTGCATGCATTCCCTCTGACCACTGTGTTCAAATGCAATCTGCGACATTTTGGGACCATTCAGGATAATGTTCTGGTCTAGTTTATTCTGTGGTTCTTGATCTCATATACAAGTGATATAAGCTCATTATATGTACACTTTTTGAACAGAAGTGGTATCCTGTTTTAGGGTTACTGAGTTTTCCACTGTTGTTTAAAATGCTTTTATTGCATAAACACAACTCGGCTTAAAAAATCAAAACAAAGCCCTGTTATCCATGCAGGTTAATAGTTAATTTTCCACAAGCAGCTTGTGTTAATTCAGTGCAAGCTTTCTCTCCTCTCTCAGTACCCTACTTTAGCCCCTCGTTCTGTCCTCTCCCCCTATGTGTAACAGTATAACATTAAGGGCAGGTACCTTCATGTTGAGTCTAGATGCACATTGATAGGCTTTATTTTTTCTTTTTCCCTTTCTGTTGGCAGCGATGGTGCGGGAAGAAGTGGAACCTACATTCTAATTGACATGGTTCTCAATAAAATGGCCAAAGGTGAGAATGGAAAGGCTTGTTACTTCCTCAGTACTGAAAGATGTGCTTGTGTTGCCATGACAACGCGGGGAGCAATATTCACAGAAAATCTGAGAATAAATTAGAGGCAAATTGTACTCTTTCCTGAACATTCTTAAATTTTATTTTCATAGCAATTTCAAACAACAAACGCAAATGCTTTGTGAATGAGCAGGTGGTTTTTGTGCTGTTGAGAAGTATTTGAATTTTTAACTTTATCATTTAAAATAGTTATTACAGTTTTTAGAAGAAGATACCCTGGAGCTGTACAATCCTTGTTTAGTGGTTATATGAGTTAGGTGCTGTGCTGCTTCATGGCTGTTGCCCAGTCCCCTGTCACCTACCCAGCCACGAGGGTCAAACTCGATTGCTTTTCTTTTTGTAGCTGCCCATTGCCACCAAAGCACCTAAAAGAGCTGGTACCGGCCAGGGCCCCATGTGCTGCACAGATTTGTCTCTTAGAAGGAAAAAGACTGTAGTGAACAGGACAGAGGACTGAAAAAAAATCAGTTAATGCTCTGTGCCCAACTCTGCCACTGTCGTTCAATATGGAACAATTCATGTAACTTTTCTGTTCCTTTGTTTCCTTATCTGTGAGATGTAATTTAATGAAGTGGGAAATCGGCTGTCAATATAAATATATACTGGGTTTTTTGTTTAAAATGAAGTCTATAGATTCTCTAGAGATTGGGACCATTCCTTTACTTTTTATTGATTGGTAAATGTTTCATGGTGGGAAGTACTTGAGATACCCTGAAATAATCTTTGTATATTAAAACTAAACCAAATTTTTAATACTGATACTGTCTTCAAAAGGAAGGAGGGTAAAAGTAGGCATGTGAACATGACCGTGTGTTAAAAAGACATAATAGTCAGCTTTATTTAAAAGTACCCCTTCCTCATGCCCTTGGCCATGACTGTGTCACAGTTTCATAGAACTGCATTTAAAAACAAAGAGAAATCTTGTGAAGTTAAAAATAAACAGAAAATAGTTATTTGCCTTTCTTAAGCTGAGTACTTAAGCTACCTTGATCTGGCATTATGCACATATGTGTATTTAAAGGAAAAGGATTTATTGTAAAAACGTATATTAATTTATATACAGAAACAATATTTAGTTCTTTGAGTTCTAATCACTTTACAGTTGTTATTTAAAATCTTCTAACATAGACATATTTTTGTTTGTAGTTTAAAAATACACTCCATGTTTTGCAGTCATCTATTGCATCCTGCGTATCCCAGTGCTGTGGGATATAGTGGCATCCTGTCCCTTTAGAAAGAAGAGTTTAGCATTTTTTCCGCTCTGTATTCTGACTGTTAACATGTCTCATCAAACGTGGAACTTGCTCCTGATGTTAAAAGAAGTTATGTGTTTGCCTTCTCCTTAGCACTGTACTGAAGATAATTTTTTCAGTGGGATGAGATTAGTTTTTCATGCTCATTGGAAAATAGGTTTTCTCTCTGTGAAGGAATATGGAGATATTTCCAATGCTTGTTATGTGCCACGTGACAACCTAGTCTTTAAAAATAGAAGCAATGGTATGTCGTAAAATTAATGTAGACATACATTAGGTTAGGTATTGTTCAGTATTTGTTCGGCTCATTTCAGTCATGAGCAATGAGAAGCCGTAATGAAAACTGGATTTAAAGTATATGCAATTTACTCGCATAAAGAAGTAAATGAGAAGTATTTTCTAGCTTGGGGCTTTCAGCCACTTAAGGGAGGGTTGACTTTGTTGTAAAAGCACTGAAGAATGCCATTTATTGACTCCATTGTACCATGTAATGTCAAATTCCATTTTAAGTGTGGGCTTAGCACTTCACAATACCAGACAAGTCATGTGAAACTGGCCAGAGAAAGGCGTCACAGGGCTTTTTGGAGATCGGTCACCCCCATTTTGTTCTTGACCTGCTCCCCTCTGCCCATGGGGGTGTGCGACGCGAAATCCTCTGACCTGGTGCTTTGGCTGGGGTTTAAATGAAAGATCAAAGGGCAGAGCGGGCATCTCAGCCCTGCTGAGGTGGGCCTTTCCCAGGCTGTCACACTGTGCGGCCGCCAAAGGTTTTGTTCGGGCGGGAACCGAGGCCCAGCCTGTGCGGCCGGGGCCCTCTTTGTCTGGCCTGAGAAGCTGGAGGCCCAGGTTGAGGATCCAATGTTCATCAAATGATCAAAGGCCTGAAGCCCTGGACATGAAATCTTTCTTTCCATTTCCTTTTCTTAGAGAATGAATTGCACGAGTGGCAAAGAATGCCCTTTCCAAAGCTTTTATGTGGAGTGCGAGGGCTAACTTCAGAGTCCTTCAGCGCTAAACATAAAAATGTAAGTGCACTTTCAATCTGGGCCCAGCTGCAAGGCCAGCATCTAGTAACATTTCTTTCAAAAAGGCTTTTAAGGATTAAGGCCTTCAGTCTTTCAAAAAAAAAAAAAACCAAAAAAAAACGGACTTTTAAGAATAAACTTAGAATAATTTGAGTTTCTTGTTCCACTGTCTGGTTTATTAGAAAGTAGACAATAATGCATTTTTAAATCAAAGTAAATAGAGGAGTACTTAGTTTCGGCAGTGGGAAAGTAGAAAGCAATCAATAAATGCCTTGGCTCTTTAGTGGGGTTTTTAATAGGGTAGGTTGAGAAAAGGAGCTCCTTTTTTATGTAATGATTTACTTCCCTGCATTCTCTTAGACAGTTAACTGTAAATGCCTTTGTCATTTACAATTTCTTCTCCTACTGCTCATTGAATTAGTGCTAATACTTAGTCTATTAAACACGTTATAAATTCATATCTTCTGCTATCTCGCCTGTTGCCGTTCCTCATATTATTTTAGATGCTGAAAACCGCCTGCAAGGGACCTGTTCCTAAAGCAGGGGAAAAGAAACCAAGTGGGGGAGGATTTTGTACTTGACACCCGCCACGTCAGTCTGACTGCCCCGAACAATTCCAGAAAGAAGGAATGAAATTCTAGAAAAAAGGCAAAGCACCCTATTTTAGTGCGCTTGCAGAATGGTACAAGTTAGTACCGAGGGTAGAAGTGCCCCCTGGGTGTACGTGGGGGGGTGAGCCGGCAGGAGGGCACGCAAGAGCTCGCAGGGAGCTCGCAGGAGCCCTCGCTCAGCAAACGCCTTCCCGGCCCCCAGCTGCCTTGGAGAGCCACGCAGCGCCAGCCTGCGGGACTCCCTCCGGCTCTGCACAGCATCAGGAAGGATTTCCTGTTGGGTTGGGTTTTTAATGAATTTCACTATCCTCTGTGCAGTAAATGTAATGACTGCATCTGTGCATTCACTCCAAGCAGCCACATTAAATAATCTTATTAGATACTGGAACAGTCAGAGAACAACAGTGTCCATTCAGTCCTATCATTCCTGTGTCGTGTCAGCGGAAAGTTTTAAATGCAAGTGTATCCTTTTGTTTAGTCGTTCCAGTAACTTAGTGCTGCTATTTATCATGTAGTTTATTACTATAATTGTTTTTCTTGCTAGATTCACATGCAGAGCAGTTACAAGACCCTGATCCTATACCCATCAAAGTAATAACAAAAATGAAACAGTGTTGAATCTGGCCGTACCGTAATGCATTTAAATATTATTTAAAGTGATTTAACTATGATAACTATCTAAATATGGTACTATTTTTACATGGATGTTACAATTTTAAGACAGTTACCAAGTCATCTCTCATTTCCCTGACAAACAGCTTAGGACAAGCTTTAGTGAGTGAGAAGTTGAGAAGTGATTTATTTCAACTCCATGTGCACTTCCATGATTTAAATAAATACAGAAAATGATAATGGATTGTTTTGTAGATAACAATGCTTGCTGGATTTTTGACAGAGACTGTTTTTCTGAGGCTGATTTCTGCTGAGAATTTCAACATTCTTGATGTATTTACAAGTTTTATCCTTTGTTATAGGGAGGATAAACTGATTTAGATTAGTCTACTTGATATTCCTTCCTCACCCCAAACTCACAGTAACTCTGAGCTGATCAGGGTTTTTTTCTTTTTGTATGATCTAGAGAAAAGTTGAGAATTTTCTCATTTCTTGTCTTTCCTGCAGGCTTATTGTAGTGACTAAAAGTTTGATATATTGCAAGACATTTTTATTGAGTGTTTCTGGCATGAAAAAGAAAAAAAAAAGAGATTGTGAGTCTTCCCACTTTCATTTTGCTGAACTGAGAGGCTTGGATAGGGTAGATAATTGTTTGATTTTTAGATATTAATCCAGCCAGCAGCTGCTTGGGGTTTGCTGACCATCCATTTTCTTGTGTTTGAACTAGCTGGAACGAGATGAGTCAAAGCGAAGGCGAATATGAATTTTAAAATCCTTTTAAAGTACTGATTTCCGAATTCTAAAACCCAGCAAAAAGATTCGATTTAGCAAAGCCGAACCAACGGTTTATTCTCTCACATTCAAAAGCTTGGATTATAATTGATGAGCACACAGGCTCTGGCCTGGGCTGGCTGCGGAGGTTATCTCCCCAAGTCCTTTCCTTGCCCCCGCTACCCTATTGTCTGAGGGTCTTGTGAGTCAGCTCCTGAGCAGATGCTGTTTATACCGTGACATTTTAAGGCAAAACAAAAGATTTCTTAATTCGCCTTCTGACTCATCGTGATCAAATGATTTTGGCTAATCTGAACCCTTGCTGAGGTTTTGCTTATCTGCTGTGTGGATTTAACAATCATAATGAAGTTGTAGGGTTAGCTCCTCTCTGAAAGGATTTTATGAAAGAAAATGCTTGCCCATATTCGTGTTAAAATGGATTCAATCTGCTTATTTTTGAGTCCTTATGCAAAGTCTGAGAAAACTCTATTGTTCGTTGTGCTGATACAAGTCTAGAGCAGGCTATTTCTGACATGCTTTTGGTGAACAAGGGAATATTTCCTCAGCCCAGGATCCAGCTTCTCCCGTGAAAATAAAACTTAACATACTATGTGTCATACAGTGGTTAAGAGAATATATAGTGTAAAAGAGAGATTACTTCTTTTTAA